GTGGATGCGGGTGAGGGTGTGGGTGTGGGTGTGACTGTGAAAATGTTTCTTCTTTTATTCCACATTCACTGATTCTCACATTCAAGGTACACTCACACTCACCCGAAACTGATATCCATCTACCCACATCCTCACTTTTACTCTCACCAACATCCACACCTGCAAGATGGCTTGTTATCGTATCTGAGTATGTATGCTTTCTTTAAAGCTTCTTACCCAAGGCTTTTCTTTTTTTTTCAGTTCATTTTCTCAATCCATTCAATTTTCATACTAGTGAATTCAACATCATGTCATCGTTGTTCTTTATTCTGTTCGGTTTCTAACACAATCTCATCAACATTGTTGATAGAAGAAGGCTGTTTACGTCATTAAAAAATTCTTTTGCTTTCATTCGTTCTTATCTAAATAGTCTTCAGTTAAAAGACCTAGTGTAGATAAAATTAACAATTCTTTTTTTTCACTCCATTCGTTGTATTGATACTTGGAAAGCAGGCAAGAGATTAAAAGCTCTTGTTGTTTTATTTCGTGTATCAAAAATAAAGCTCCTACTAATATTAAGTTTTCAAATTATGGCAACACCTCATAAACCAAACCTCGCCATTTCTCGCTATACAGACTTTCGTGATGAGCCAGTTAGTCGTCTTCTTGCTCCTATTGGTGGTTATCAAGATAAGCCCATAGTTTCACTTGAGGAATCAGTTGAATTAGTCTCCGATTTATTTGATGATATTCAAGGAAACGTATGGGTAGCTAAAGAAAACTGTAAGAATCCTGCTGATGGTCTCAATCAAAATGAGTCTGCTGCAATTCATCTATATACGATGCAGTTCGACCCAGATCCTTCACTTTACCATGTTTTGAACGAAAAACTGCGTTCTGAAAATCGACAATCGTTAAAGCCGTGGTTCTCTTACCTGAAGCTTTTTTTAACGGCGCTCTATAAGCTTCCATCGCGCAGCCAAACTGTTTGGCGTGGTGTACGCAATGTGGATTTAAGTGCAAAATATCCCACCGGAAGCAAATTTGCTTTTACAGTATTCACATTTTAACTGCTTATCTATAAAAATAAATTGGAAACAAATAAGAATAGTTGATTGTTATATATGAATAATTATTGGTGGGGTATTAGTTCGTGCACAGTATCGCTCGAAGTACTTC